GGGGGGGGGGGGGGGGGGGTGGGGTATTCTTGAGGGGAATTTTGAAAAGTTTAGTTGTGGAAATCAAGGGACAATGATGAGAAATTCAAATATTTTCAGAAAAATAGAACTCTTTCTAGCGCTTCTTTAGAAATGATAAGAATGTTCTTATGAATGTCTTGTTATTAGAAAAATGAGTTCTAAGACATGACAAGCCTTTGGATTTGGTATCCAAAATCATCAAGTTGCTTTGTAATGGTGCAGTTGTGGTATGTAGTCTATCAAAGATGTCCATATGGCCAAATGAACCACTTGTCGAGGCATTAAATTATTGGATTTAATTTTTATGTACTAACAGTATTACTTGTTAAAAACCAACTGACCTGTACATATCGGTGTGGATTAGCAACCTGGAAAAGATGTCAAGTAATTTACTACTCCTATAATCGGTTAAACTTCACCATAATTTCTTTGCTCTTTCAGTGTAAATTTGTATACTAAACTATTTTTGAGAATGACCTGTTATGGGTACGCAGTTCTTGCACTGCTAAATTGTGGCAATCATATAGTTGACTCTATGGTACTGCCGAATATTTGACATATAAAACTGCTGATTAACATTATCTTTTTACAGGATCACATTAACAATTGGAGGGCTACTGCTCTAATCCTGACATCAGTACTGTTTCTAGCCGCTGGAATATGGTTTATAGGTAAAGATGCTGCGTTTTCTTATTATGATTTCAAAATTTTATCCTCCAGAATGCATCCGTTTAATGTGGTTCAATAAAAGTTTTGGATTAAGCAGGGCGATTAAATATTGAATGTATGTTATGCAGGTATCTTTCTTCATAGTGTTGATAGATATAATGAAGAAAATGAGCATCAAGTTAGTATTGCTGATAGATCAAACACAATTCCACTTCTTGAGGAGAAATCTGCTGAAACAAGTCCAAGTCTCTGCTGATTCCCAGTTTACACTTAAACAAATGAAATGTGAATTTCTTGTATTATTATCTTGTTTGCAAATTCTGGTCCACTTGCCAACGGAAAAATTACTTATATGTGTTGATGGGAATCATAGGAAGCTTCTTCATCTTCCAGGTGCGCTAAACTCACTAACAATTATTAGAGGTACAACTGGTGGTCAAGAGTTACAATTTCGAACAGTACAATATATTAAAAATTGACTCCTGTCGTATTGAGCCTTTTCTATTTCTGTTAATCTATGGAAATAATACTCAATAATAATTATATTAGATTTATTATTTCTGTAGTTAATTTTGTAATGAAATTTTGTCATATTATTGCATGTTTCATGTTTCTACTACTACTCGTGACAGGGGCGGATGTAGTATATTACTACCGGGTTCAATTGAACCCATAACTTTTGACGGTGAGTAAAAATTTATATGTAAAAATTTATTAAAATTATAAAAATAATAGATATAAACCCATAACTTTAAAAGTTGAACCCATAAAATTTAAATTCTGGATCCGCCTCTGACTCGTGAGGGTGTGCCCGGGCATTGCCATAGCAAAGATTGTAAAGTTTTCTTTTTTCCTCTAAATTTGCTTGGAATAATTTATTAAAAAAAAGTTGGTTGGAGCAGTTGAGGATTAAAGCATCTATAAAAGATCAAAGTGAACCGTGGGATAGTTGATCAAAGGTAATCAAAGTTACTTGCTGATTTAGAGCGTTCGACTTTTGTAATCCGAATACAACTATTTGCTTGATCAAAATAAATATACTCTCTTCATCTTTTTTACAAAATAAAAAATATTTATTATATTTTGCAATAATTCTCTTGAAGTCAAATTGAGTTATAACATATTAGTGCTTAATATAACCTAGTTTGATTTAGAACTAATTTAAACTTTGATTAATACATAGTATAATATTTCAATACCAAGAAAAATAAAAAGATTTTAACTTGCAATACTTCTAATATCACATTTATTATTTAATAGTACCTTACTGAAGAAACTTAAATCGTCCTCATAAAGTTATGATTAAAAATATCATAGATGGTGATAATTAAAAAAAATGATTAATTATTACTCCAACTTAACTAAAATAAAATTACACTAAGAAAACTAAAACAAAAGTACATTAAGAAAATTACTCTATTATCTAAAATTAAAGCAACATCACAAATATGTGTTTCAAAATCGAAGTTGGTCAACTCAAGATTTTAGAAAACATTTTGTTTTGTAAATCGAAAATGATCTTTCTTTCTTCAGGTTAAAGAAATTTTCCAAAAAAAATCTCAATTTTTATAGAATACAATCTAACACAAAGGCACGGAAGTTTTCTCCAAAAAGTTTTCCACGGTGCATATAACATTAAAATGTGAATCTTTGCCTTTTTAGAAATCTTTTAGCATGTCACCTTGAATCGATGATGACTAATTTTTTAATGCCTTCTTTATATGCTTATCGGTATCTTATAGGATGGCCGGTGGGAACTATTCAACTTTTTTAAAATATATCATTTCATACTGAAAATTAATCGAGTATTGGTTATGTTTGCAAGTATGATGGGTATAAGTTTATGCATATACTTGCAACTCTAGTTCTACGTGTTTGGCACCTTCAATTATCACCATGTGAAATTTTTATTTACTTTATAGCCGATTAAATATCACGGCCCAAAGCTCAACCTGTCATGATGACGCCTATCATGATACTAGGCAAGCCCACAACTCACACATACCAACACTTTCAATTTAAAAATATACTAAAACAGGTTTAAATAAGTGAGAATCTCAAAAAACTGAATGGAAACACCTCAACTCATTACAAAATATTTTTTCCAAAACCTGGGTGTCACTGAGTACATGAGCATCTATACAGTAACACAGTCTAATACATTGTCAAAGAAAGTAGAACAGAATAATCAAAATTGAGAGATAGCGGAGGAGAGTCAAGGTCTGTGGACGCCAAAGCAGCTACCTCGATAATCTCCGACAGGTAAAACTCCACGATCAACAACCACCGTGCCCATAAATGCCTGGATCTGCACACGAGGTGCAGGGTGTAATGTGAGTACAACCAACTCAATAAGTATCGCAAATAAACAAGGCAAGCTAAGAGAAGCTTAAATTATTGAGGATACTAGTTATTCCGGTGTGATTCTACCTTTTTAGGCCAGCACAGTACAATATTTAAAACTAACTCATAAAACTTTGTGAGAAGAATATCCGTGTGTGCATGTGCACTATTTCTCAAATATCCTGCTCAAACAGTATTATGGCATGTAGAGGAAAGAAACAAGTAAATCAGATAAGTGATTAAGAAAATACAAGTTCCACACACTGCACGAACAACTCACGTGCTGCACGGACCACTCACGTGCTAACAATAGAACCTGCACGTACAACTCACATGCGACACGGACAACACACTCGTCAATATTATCAATATATAGATCTGCTCGGACAACTCACGTGCTACACGAATAACTCATGTGCCAATAATATCAATACATGGATCCGCACGGACAACTCACGTGCTGCAGGGATAACTCACGTGCCAATAACATAATCCGCCCGGTATAGCCGCAGGCCCCTGCCCAAAAATATCATATAGAAGCAATAAAGCAAGTATACAAGTATAAGATGAATGAAATAAGATTCTCATGTCCCTGGACTTGTGTAAATGACATGCTAAAGTGTAGGCATGTGCAAAGTGTGCTATCGTAGCTTAAATCGACAATTTCATCAATGAAAAGCATTTATTAAGCTCGTTTAGGTGTTAAACCTCTAAGTAGTCTCATCATCACTCAATTAGATCACATAAACTATTACAACATGTGGGATATCGAAGCTTAAAGCTTAACAGTCATTTCTAGGCTTATAAGAGCCCGAGCACAACTCAAACATGAATATATAATCCCGGTGCCCGCACATGGGCTCATCCCCACGCATGTGCGCACCCAAAATCACATAGCTATCACAATAATTCTGGCAACTAGTGCCTCAACTGAGTTTAAATATGATACTTACCTCAAGCAAATCGAATCACTCCGCTAGCAAGCCCCTGCCTCGCGAATCGGCCTCCGAACGCCTCGAATCTAGCCACAAACAATTCGATACAATCAACTCAAGCTATTGGAATCAATTCCATATGAAAATGCTAAATTCTTAATCAAAAGTCAAAAAGTCAACTCCCTCGGGCCCACATCTTGGAATCCAATAAAAATTACAAAATCCGAAACCCCATTCAACCACGAGTCCAACAATACCAAATTTACCAAATTCCGACACCAAATCGTCACTCAAATCCCCAAATTTAACTCTCCAATCCCTAGCCTAGAACTCCCAAAATTCCACCTCAAAAACACACAATCTTGGTGGAAAATTCAATGGGGAAACAATATTATTGAATAAAAATGATCAAGAGTGACTTACCTCAAGAAACCCCTCGAAAATCCTCTAAAATATTGCCTTAGTCCGAGCTTGAAATACGCAAAATGATTAAAATCACGAAACCCTCGAGTTTTAAAACACTGCCCAGCCTTTTCGCTTCTCCGGGTCATTTAACCGCACATGCGGTTTCGCTTTTGTGGTCAAAGCTCCGCATCTGCGGAGTTACACTGGAAACCGGCCTTGCGCACCTGCGGCCACTAATCCGCTCCTGCGGCCTCGCTTTTGCGAGAATTCTTTCGCTTTTGCGGACCTGCCTCACCAGGCCCCTTTTCTCTTCTGCGAGCTCCCTCCACATCTGCGAACTCGCAGGTGCGGAAATTCCCTTCGTACCTGTGCAACTCCCTAGCTCACCCAAATCCGCTCCTGCAATGTCTCCTTCGCTTCTGCTGTCACGCACCTTCGACCAAATTTTTCACAGGTGCGATCGCACCAGACCTGGTGCACTTCAACAATCCTTAATTCCAAACTTCGATCCGTTAACCATCCGAACTCTACCCGAGGCCCCCAGGACCTCAACCAAACATACCAACAAGTCCTAAAAAATGATACGAACTTAGTCGAGGCCTCAAATCACATCAACCAACATCAAAAATATGAATCACACCTCAATTCAAGCCTAACAAAAACTAAGAAATTCCAACTTCTACAATCGAGGCAAAACCTATCAAATCACGTCCGATTAACCTCAAATTTTGCACACAAGTCATAAATGAGACAACGAACCTTTTCCAACTCCCAGAACATAATCCTAGCCTGGTAACTACAAAGTCAACTCTCGCTCAAACTTCTCAATTTCCAAAACTTCTAATTTTCCAACTTTCGCCATTTCAAGCCTAAATCAACTACAGACCTCCAAATCACTATCCGGACACACTCCGAAGTCCAAAATCACCCAATGGAGCTATCGAAACCATCAAAACTCGATTTCGGAGCCATTTATACATAAGCCAACATTCAATCAACCTTTTCAACTTAAGCTTCCAGCCTTGAGACTAAGTGTCTCAACTCATTCCGAAACATCCCCGAAACCGAACTAATTATCCCGGCAAGTCACCTAACAACAATTTAGCATAGAATAAGCAGTAAATGGGAGAACATGATACAACACTCAAAACGACCGGCCGGGTCATTACATCCTCCCCCTCTTAAACAAACGTTCGTCCTCGAATGGGTCTAGAAACATACGTGGAGTCTCAAATAGGCGTGGATATCTGCTCTGTATCTCCCGCTCAGTCTCCCAAGTAGCTTTCTCGACTGACTGACCTCTCCACTGCACCTTCATTGAAGCTATGTTCTTTGACCTCAACTTTTGAACCTGCCGATCCAAAATGGCCACCGGCTCCACATCATAAGTGTAACAACTCGACCGATCGTTTTGAGCATTTACTCCCCTTTCAACTATTTGAAATCTTGAATTGCTTCATATGATGTATTATGACGTGTATAAATCGTCGATTTTGTTTTCAGGTGTTTCGGAATATGTTCGGAAGAATGAATTCCATGTTGGACTCCTTAAGTTGAAAGAGTTGACCAAATTTGACTTTTTAGTATTCAACCTCGGATTTGAGTTTTGATGATTCCGTTAGGTCCAGATGGTGATTTTGGACTTGGGCGTATGCCCGAAACTTAATTTGGATATTTCTAGAATATTTAGACATCGTTTCTTCAAGAATAAGTGGTACCACATTAAGTAAATGAGCTCCAAATTCAGTTTTGATTGAAACATTAGATCCGTATTGAAATTACGGGGCCATATAAAAAAGAATCGTCAAATTCAGACATCGT